TGAACAAGTGTGGAAAGAAAGATATTCAACATGTCAATGAATTACCTTCTCTTCTGGAGCCATGTCTGCTGCTGGGCTTGTTGACGTGAGAGGTTACGGTAATAAAATTGAAACTGAGGAACAACCAAATATTAGTGCATACTGTGTATTTCCCTCCATTAATATATAACGGTAAACAAATATGATATTAGATAGTACATATGAAGAACATATTACCATAACTAAAGAAAAATAGAACAGAGCACCAACCTTTTGTTGTTCCATGGACAGATCATCCATGCATTCAATCAAAAACTCCACATTCCTCTCCAAGAATGGATTGGTTGATAACTGTAGACGGTCATAATCACACTGCAAGAACACATTTCAACAATTCAATCATGGAAAAGGAAAAGAGAGAGAGCGATACAAGAATTCAAAAAGAATAACACAAGACCTGTGTGACAGGAGTATCAGCTTCCAGCTCTGTCATAAAGGCACTGACAAGTGCAGAATTTGAAACTTTGATCTAGTAGGAGGAAATAAAACAGAAAATATAAGTTGCAATTATAAACAACAGAGTATCAGTCTCCAAATCTGGACTAAAGAGGATAATGGCAAGCAAAATACCAAACCAAAATAATAGTATCTTTAGTTTCACAATCTTGATCAGTACTATTGAGAATAGAAGTCAAGTTGTCAGCCAAAACCAGGTGCCAAGTTGAGCCAAATGATGGCTCAGTGAGCCCAGGGATTTTGTCTACTCTGATTACCAAGTCACAGGGATAGTGAGCCAGCTTAGAAACTGTTTATAGTTGTCATTTGGTACCCTTTTCAATAAACCCCTCTAACTTCTTATTGCATGCGCTACTAACACTATATTTGACAACTTGCACAAGTTAACTAACCTTGCCAAGAGATTTAAAACACCAACATGAAAAATACGACGACAATGCAGACTGGCAAAAATTAGCTTTTAATTGTGTTTTGAGGAAACAAAAAAAGTGCACAAGCTAGAACGTAAAAAGAAAAGGACTTCGAGTCACAACTCACAAAAGCTAAAATGAGTAGGATAAGATATTTTAATTCCTCTAGTCTAACCCCAGATGGTTGTCTGCGTTATAACATAAGATTCTATGCATCCACTATCAAGTAAAGATCCAGAAATTTTCTGCTAGTCTAGCTAAACTGCACATATGGGCATATGGCGCCAACGTGGATTAAAAGTCATTGCTATCCAGGTATAGTAGTTAATAGCTTAAAAGTCAATCACATCTTATTTTATTCGTAGGCAGTACTTAGTATTAAAGACTTTGATGACATTAATAGAGGTTGAGAAAGTAGAGGACGAAGAGCTTGTGACTGGATAGATACTGCCACTACCAATTGCAGCAATCCACATAAAAAATTGTTGCCACTAAACAAAATACGAAAGTTCGACCAAATTAACAGTTCACACCCTTGTTTGGAGTGAGAATTCGATCAGGGCCTGATCAACCCAATTTACTAGCAATTAGTCAACTTTTAACTTTCTATCTCTTGCTTCTTAGTAAATGCGGTATATATGTTCTTTCTGAATGAAAAATAAATGCCTTAAACCATAGTACGTAAGCAAGACCAATGTCATGCATGTGGGAATTCAAAAATAAGTAAATCACAAGATATAAGACACGTACAGGTATTTCCTCGAAGATGTCCACCCACGACAAGTTCTTCTCTCGCAACCTTTCAAAAAAAAAAAAAAAACGACTGTCAAAAAAGCTTCCAGTAAATAAACCACTATAAGAGTTAACTTCTCAAGATGAAAAAAAGGGATTACTTCTCTCCAGAGAAATTGCTGTTGCGATAAAGATCCATGAAAGCATCTGAAAGCTTTAAGGCCTTGAGAGCTAAGACACCTTGATTGGATCGCGATGGATCATATGTGATGCATACACACCGTTTAATATTCTCCTGCAACAAAATATAAACATACATCAGTTATAACTGGAATACCATTAGATGAGGGATATATCTCGGCAGAAAGATACATAAAAGTACAAAACAGATGTTAAACAAAATGACCAAAGGATAAATTCATATATACAAAAAACAGATGATAAAAGTACATATATACCTGATAATTCATAAAAGTTTCAATCAATTCAACTGTCTGAAAAGACCCTAGCAGAGTCGACTGGTACCTATAAAGCCATAAAGAAATCGCCAAAGTTAGAAAAAATAAAAATAAATAAACTAACACCCGTATTCAGTAATTAAGTAGTCTTATATGGATAAGGAACCAGGCTGAATTAATTTAAACTTATCAGAAAACCTTACAACCACACAAAAACCCAAAAACAATTTCATCTCACTTGCATTCTAGAGTATTGATAACACTATGATGACCAATGAACAAAACATTGAGCATACTGAATATCCATCCATATATCATAGGATGCAAAATCTTCAGTCCTATACTAAATCTACTTTCTTTGATGCACAACATTTTCCTATTCAGGCTAAGGAGTTATCAGTATTCTAGAAACAAAACGCCCAAAGTCATCAACTCTATTACTTTTAAATGCAATAAGCATGCAACTGTTGACATACCATCCAACAGTATTATTGTCGACATTAACTTCTCTCAAGCATCTCATCATTTCAAGTTGATAATTAGCCCCATCAGCTTCAATTTCCTCCTCTTCATCTCGGACCTACAATTTGATTGCAGGAAAACAGATTTAGGAAATGGAATCCTAGTACAAACAATGGTACATAAATTTCTTGATTTTGAGCAAGGTTTTTGTCAGTATGTATTATGATGATGCTGTTGAGATGACATGGAAGTTCTCATACCGGGAATGGAAAGCAGTTAGTAACTTCAAGAACACTACCAACATCTAACCCAAGAAGTTGGCCTGTAACCAGAGCGGGTGAAAACTCCTTGCAGTGCTTGATTATCTTTAATATGACCTGTTTAAGAGCATATTCAATGTAAGAAAGAGCATAATGGATAAACCGGACATGTTTACCTCTGCTACACCTACCATCGCATGAAAAACTTGGATGCAAAATACATTCAAGATGAGTCATAAATCACTTTTTTTTTCTTATTTAATTCAAACAATATTATGGCACAGACACTGTCAAGTTCACTATTAAACAATTATTGACCAAAAAACAACATGGCTGCTTTCAAATCTATTCGTTTCTCCCTTAAAAGTTAAAACACTCTTTCATGTAAAATTATCATGATGGGAAATCAGAACAAAGCAAAAGGCCCTCTTTTTTGAAGGTGAAGATGATCCAACTAAAGCAATATAGCATGATCCAACTAAAGCAATATAGCATTAGACAAAAAAAAAA